ACACACACACACACACACACACACACACACATATGTACACATTCACAGAAACACATACCAAACTTTTATTGCCAAATAAAACATTTACATCATTTTACACCTCTGTTTTTTTTTTTTTTCTTTTCAAACTTTGCTTACTTTCAATTTTTTTTTCTTTCTTTACATTTATTATTCAGCAGAAAAGATGGAAACAGAAAACTAACGAATATGAGCGGAAAAAAAAAAGAATTAAAAGTTAATAAACTAAGCAATAAGTAACTGCACTAACAACAACACCACAAAAAAAAACACATACCCGGCGGGCCAGTGATACCACCTTTCGGTAAATCTTCAGCCTTTATTATATTAACTGTTAAACGTCTAGCCGCTTTTTCAATACAAGATGTTATGTAGATTTTGCCCAATTTCTAAAAGCATAATAAATGAGCAGGATATAGCAGCAGATGAAGAAAAGAAGGTAAAGCAGATTAACTCTAGAAAAAGAGCAGTACTGAAATACGGATATATAGAAAGCGATGACTGGAACAAGGAGAAGATAAACGAGCGGAAAAGATGGAGATGAGGTAAACAGTTAACAAAATAAGTAAAAAACTAAAAAAATCAAATTTTTATAGCATTAAAATAATTCTCCTTTTTTCAGTTCAGCTGTTTTTTTTTGTTTCTACATTTTGTTTTCTTTTCATCTCTTCTGAATGCTCTTCTTTTGACCCCCTTCCCCTGTTTTGCCTTCACTGCAGCACTTACAATCAAACAAATGAGAGAACAACAGCCCTGGCTATTGTCACCGCAAACGACTACAGCCGGATCACTACTATCAACAAAATCACCGCCACCACCACCACCACCACCACCACTACTACTACTACTATTACCACCATCGTCGTTATCAATAATAGTGGCCATTGAGTATTTGAAATCAGAGAAGTCGTAATCAAATGTATTACCGGTTACCAGTTAACACCGATCAAAATCTTCCGTCAACAGTTCGGCTGCACCGATGATTGGGATACTTAGGAACGGTGGTTGAGTGTTGTGGGGTATCAAAAGTAGAGAGAGAGATGTTTAGCGACAGAAGTGATGGAAGAGGCAGCAAAGTATAACTGTTTTAATAGCTTTGTAATGCAAATTGAAGCATCTATTTTTTTTTGTTACTTCCTCCTCTTTCCTCTTTTTCCTCCTTTGTCCTCTTCTTCTCGCCTTTTTCAGAAACACAAGTTTTAAGAACAAGTATAAAATTAAAAGAAAAACAGGAAATAAATAAAGAAATTGATAAAAAGATGCGTAAGCAGTAAAAATTGGTGTTATTGCGTTTTGTTCTTCAATCTAAAGCAATCAATTTGTGAACATTGCTTGGCGAGAACAGAGCTAGAAAAAAAAAAAAAAAAGAACGAAGAAGAAGAAGAAGCAGCCTGACAAGTTTCAGTGCATTTGCGAGAAATAAAAACTAAACGTAGAGATTTTGAGTTATAGTTCATTCCAGGAATCTGCAATTGCAAAACAAAACGAAAAAAAAGAAAGGGATTTTGGAGCAGAAAAAAAATTGAAAACGAATAGGTAGAAATCTCTTTAACAAAAAAAA